CCTTGATTTTTTTCAAAGATGGGCTGAATTACAATGCCAGCTTTATTCTTATTTAAAACGTGCTTACCTTGTCTGGATGGGTCGATTTTTAGCACTGCTGCCTTTTTTACTTCCTTCAAGAACACCCTGAAATTGCTGCCATGAAATTGCTACCTTGAAATCAGAAAATGAGAATATTCTGTCATTAATTGCAGTGCCATTTACTGGAAATCTGCCCTGATATTTACTCCAGGTGTTGAACTGCATTAAATAAATAGAAACCACAGAATGGTTTGGGTTGGAAGGGATCATCTAGTTCTGGCTTCCAAGCTAATCTTTATTATGATTTGCATAAATAAATGTATATTTCCAGTGGAGACACCATAATGCTCTCAGATCCTTGTTTCAGCCTGTTTATTCGTGATGTTGTCCATGGCAATCCCATAACTCCTGGTAATTCAAATATTTGTAAATTCCCCAGGATTAATCATGGTCTGGATTTTTTTACTTCCTCTTGTGTTTTTACTCGTGGAGTTGTTGAAATGTGAAAGCAGCCTGGGAGCTGCACTTGTAAACCTTTAAATACCTTTCCAAATGTTTGCATTCCACGGGTATTTACTCCACGAGGGTTCCTGGTGCCTCTGAATCCTCACAATTCCTTTCCATCACTGATGTCTGAACCTCCAGAGGGAATGAATTTATCAGAGGAGTTGCAGGTTAAAAGGCAGGAAATGGAGCAGCTTTGGGGGTTCTGTTCAGTGCTGCTTTCAACTTGCACCAAGTCAGTGGGAATGTGAAAATAATCTTATTTTCCTCTCTGCTCCACTCTGGAGAGACCCCACCCAGGACAGCCCTGGGGTCCCCAGCATGGGATGGACCTGGAGCTGCTGGGGTGAATCCAGAGGAGGCACCAAAATGTTCAGGGGGATGGAGGAAAGGCTGGGAGAGTTGGGATTGTTCAGGCTGGGCAAGAGAAACTTTGGGGTGACCTCAGTGTGGCTTTCCAGAGCCTAAAGGGGCTCCAGGAGAGCTGGGGAGGGACAGGACACAGGGAATGGCTTTAAGATGACAATGGGGTGGGTTTAGATGGGATTTTTGGGCAGGAATTGTTCCCTGGCAGGCTGGGGATGGAATTCCCAGATTTGCTGTGGCTGCCCCTGGATCCCTGGCAGTGCCCAAGGCCAGGTTGGACATTGGGGACAATGGGAGGTGTCCCTGCCATGGCAGGGGTGGCACTGGGTGATTTTTGAGGTCCCTTCCAGCCCAAACCCTTCTGTGACTCTGTAAAATAGGTGGGAGTTCCCTGTGAGACTCACAGGGAAAACCACTCATGGTGGTTTTTTCATGGAGAAAATGAGGCAGCATCAGGAAATGAGCTATGAAGGAGCAATCTGGATCATTTTATTTGGTGTTTAAATGCCAAGGGGATGCTGTGCTGGTGGACACTCAATTCCAAGAATTAGTTTGCAAAGCAGAAGTTCAGAAATGGGTGGTTTCGGATGGGGGGTTGGACTGGGTGACATTTCAAGGTCCCTCCAGCCCAGACTCAGATTCTGTGACCCCAGTGCCAGGTGGGCTGTGCTGGCTTTGCCCAAATGGGATTCAGCTCTGAGATGTTCAAATCCCATTTGCTGCTGCTGCCTCCTGTTTCCTGCTGCCTGTGGGTGCTGGTTTCCCTCCCCTACCTGTCTTCTTTCTTTTGTCCTTCCTTTATTTCATATTTTTTATCTGATTTGGGTTTGTGCTTCACATGCTCCAAACCAATCTCCTGTTTATCAGCTGCTCATCAGCTGCTTCCCTCCTGCAGCCATGGCACAGTTGGGGTTTTCTCTTCCAAAAATAGCCTGAGAGGGTTTAGTGTGGGTTTTGTCGTATTCCCTGTTGGGCATTTGTTTGTGATGTCTCTGGGTTTTGAAAAGAAGATCAGAGCTGTGCAGAAATAAGAGTTGGTTCTTGTGGGATTTCTTGTGTACTCAGGTAAAGATGATTTTGTTTCGTGTCACTCACCAGAATAATTTCAGGTTTAGGGCAAACTTTGCCCTGCCAGCTTGCTTTTGTAGAGGGGGAAAAAAGTGTTTTAATCCCCCTTTTAATTTACCCCAACATGCAAAGGAGCTGATCCAAGGATGGAGAAAATGCAAGTTTGGGAGGGGATGTGGAGGGAGCATCACTGGTGTGCACACACTGCTGTTAATTCCCTGCTCCCTTCGGGGTGGGTTTGTGTTTGACACTCAGGGAAAATGGGAACATCCCAAGCCTGGAGGAGATGGTGCTGCCCTTCCAGAAAGAGCCAGGGGCCAGCAGCAGCAGGAATTGAGGAGAGGAATTGGGGGGAGAGCCCTGGGTGAGCCTTGGTGGGTGCACAGGGAGCACAAGGGGCTGTCAGCATCCTCCTGTGATTATCCCCCCCTCTGGTGAATATTAAAATCACTTTTTCATTGTATCTCCAGAAAAAATATCCTTGGCTGGCTCTGAACAGAAATCCTGGTGGTTTTGGGCCACAACTCCTGGAGTAGGAGCAGTGGAAAAGTTTCCCTGCCTTGGAGGATTTGTCTCTCCTGCATCCATTTATTCCGGTGTTTCACTCATCAAATTTTGAAGCAGCAGTGATTAAAAAGTTATTTCAGGCCTTTGTTCCCCTTGAAATCCCTGCAATGGCCTCAATTTTAACTTTCTCATGCCATTTATTGGCTGCATTTAAATTTATAAATTTATTGGTATTAAAGAAAATCGAGGTAAAAAACGACAGCACACTGTGCTTTACTCACAGGCTCTGCAGGGATGAGGCCATTGGGAAGCAGCTGCAAGGATTTGGGAACAGATATGCCCAGGTATAAAGAAAAAGGGGCTTTTAGTGGATTTTGACCCAATTTCCTTGTGAAACGGCAGGAGGAGAAGTGAGATCTTGGGGCAGAGAATTAAATCAGTCGTGGCAGGGGTCTCTGTCCTTGACTAAAGAAATGGGGGCAGTTGTTTGGCAGGAAGTTCAGCTTCTCTTTTCCTGGCTTGGATTGAACTTTCAGTATTTGTCTGGGAATCACTTCTCCAAAGGCACCCCAAAAAATGGGGCAGCAGTTCTGTGAAAGGGAGGAGGGGGAGATTTTTTTTTTTTGGTTGTGTAATTGTCTGGAAGAAATTTTAATTTCCTCGTGATGGGACGGAATTCCCCCTCTCATATCATGGGTCTTGTCACAGAACTAAAGAGAACCAACACAAAGCTTGAAATCCTGGAGCATTCTGAGATCCTGAGGCTGACATTTCTAAACTCCATGGAAGTTGGCTGCATTTTGGCTGTGAGGGATAAAAATAAGGATTTTCTGTTTTTGTTTCCTTGCCTTGCAGAACACCCCACAGAAAGTGTTGGGTGGTTATTCCTGCTCATCCAGACACTCCTTCCAAGAGTGATTTCCTGAACCCCTGCCAAGCCGTGGCTTCTGATTACAACTTTGTCATTCCTGTCACTTTTATCTTTACACACCATTGAAATGTCATCCCTCATGTGTTTTATTGCCTTCCCTGTCTCTGCATTAGGATGTTGACTTATGAGCCCTTCTCACCCTCTGTGTCCTGAGCTCACCTGTGCCTCTAAAGGAATTTTTTTTCCCATGCCCTCATACCCTGGTGGAGCACCCAGAGAGTTTCCAGCTGCTCCCAAGACTCAAATGGTTTTGCAGCCATCAATTCTGGGAATTTGTCCAAATCCTTTCTGAATTATTGCAGGTGTTACCTACTCCTAAATATTTTATTGAATCCCAGAATTGTTTGGGATGGAAGGAACCTTAAAAATCATCCATGTCCTTGCCATGGCAGGGACACCTCCCACTGTTCCAGGCTGCTCCAACCTGGCCTTGGACACTTCAGGGATCCAGGGGCAGCCACAGCAAATCTGGGAATTCCATCCCAGCCCCTCTCCACCCTCACAGCCAGAAATTCCTTCCCAATATCCCACCCAACCCTTCCATCTGTCAGCTCTCAAAGACCACTGTAGGAATGGTTAAAAAAAAAAGCATTAAAAAAAAAAAACCATTAGAAGTGTGTAAATGTAGTTTAAAAGAGAAAAAAAAAAATCCAAAATACTGTCAGCAACAGAAATTGCCTTAATTTAGGAAGAGTGGTTGTAGGATTGTGTTTTGCTTGCTGAAGGTTCAGACTGGGAGTTTGGCTTGCTTAAATAAAACATGTTGGGTTTTTAATGATTTTAATCTGTTCTGTATTGAATTATTCAGTAGAACTAAAAGGTTACAGAAGCATAATGAAAGTGAAAGGTAGAGAGACACAGCCATAAAACACTGTGAACAGAAGGGTAAGACTCAGAGTTTGTACCAGATCTAAAAAGTTCTTCTTTCATCTCTGTTCTGAGAAAAATGTCATTATTCCTGCTTCTTCTTATATTTCCATAGAATTTCAGTGAATAAAATCTATAGGAAAGGTGGCTTTGTTGGGTGGTTGAGAAGCAGCTGAGGTGCACGGGGGCTCTGTAGCAAACCTTTTAATGGGCTTCAAATCCAGCTTGGCACCTTATAACTGCTGATATTATAGCTATATATTCATTATATAGCTAAATATTCATTATCTATATGTATTTATATAATTATTCACCAGGTAAATTGAAAAATATCCTTTTTTTTTTTTCTCAGCAGTAGTGGTTTGGTTGTGCTTTTGACGAGGGAGGAAAAAAATTAAAATAAAAAAAAATTAACTTTCAGTTTGAGCTTTGCCTGTGTCGAGTAATTGTGATGCTTTTAGTAAGTCGAGGCAGATAAGTGGACAGAAATTTTGGTGCCTAAAGCAGAGTTTTTGTGCCATCCATGTCTGATATTCCCCATTTCTTGTTCCACTCCCAGACTCCACGGAGGAGAACACCTTGCACAAGGAGCTGCTGACTTCCCTGCTGATCCTGGTGCTGGTGGTGATCATTTTCGTGGTGCTCGTGGGGTATTTTTTCAGGTGGGTGTTCTTTGGGCTCAGCCCCATCCTTGGTGCCCTCCCACGGAAGCGGGAGGGAGGCAGAGCCTCGGTGCAGACGGCGCCGTGCCTGCCCTGCTCTCCCCGCCAGCATGAACAGAAAGAGCTTCTCTAGAATTACATGGTTTGTAAAAACAGGGCTGGCAGTGGGCAAATGCTGCTTTTTTTTCCCCTTTGCCAGAACTGCCACATTAACGTGGTGCCTCTGTTGCAGGTTCAGGAGACACAGGAAAGCTGTGGTGAACTCCGGCGACAAAAAGATGCCAAATGGGATCTTGGAAGAACAAGGTATGGAGGGATTTGCTTTCAAACTCTCGTTTTTATTTGGGTCTGCTGCGTTCTTTAATTCACAATTGCTCAGTGTTTGCTTTTCTTTCTAATAGAAGTTGTTATTATTGTTATTAAAGAGAAAACAGTTGGAAAAAAATGCCATCACAAATGGTTTGAGTTGGACCTTAAACTCATCCAGTTCCAACCCTCCTGCCATGTACAGGGACATCTTCCAGCACTTGGTTGTCCCATCCTAGCTGGCCCTGGAAGAGAGATCCACGTTTAGAAATCCACATTTAGAAATCCATACTCAAGTTGTCTGTAGAAAAATCTTAACTTTCAGTTGCTGGTTTGAAATAGGTTTCACTTTAAGTTGTGATGCAGCAAATGTTTCTGTGGAAAACCTTCCTGGGCTCTTTGTGTTTTAGCAGGATGCCAGCTGAGATCCAGGCTGGTGACAACGTGATCCTTGTATTTAGAGAGGGAATTGCAATATTTCTTCCTAAAACGAGGAGAAAAGTCCTTAACGCTTTGTGAATCCCCTGGGTGGTTTCTGAACGTGAAGCAGGGGGGGTTGAGATGGGGCAGTTTTGAAGCCAGAGGCACTGAAATAAAACACTCTGAGGAGTTCAAAACGGTCCCCACTGGTTTGAGTTTCTGGGTTTGTTTCTGCCCATGGGGAACCCCAGGCTGGCTCCTCTGTGGGGCCCAGCTCAAACCTGGTAGGGCTGGGCAAGTTGTTTTGACCACAACCCAGAGAAAATTGATAAAATTAATGATAAAAGAATCACTCTGTGGTTTGTGTCAGTCCCACTGGGCCATGTGTGAAATGATGAGCGAGTTGAGGAGGGTGGCAGTCAGAGGGAAAGTCAAAACCCTAAAAATACCCATCAGCTTCCTGCTGGGTTGTTCCTCTTGGGGCACAGTTTCTGTTGGCTGCCAAGTTAAAGATAAATTATTTATTTTTATTATCATCATCATTATTTCCCCTCGAAATGAAATAATCTTGCAGCAGCTCCTTGGTGATAGGTGCCAAAAGCTGTCCTTGCCCTGTCAGCAGAAAGAACCTTTTCTGAATAAAACTTGGTCACTTTTTAATCCGGTATAAATAGAGAAATCATTCATTTCCCCAGTAGTGGTTCTTCTTGATATCATTATGCTCTCAAAGCAACCACTCTGCCTGTGATTTGGTGTTTTAATTTCCTTTAAATCACCTTTATCACCTCAGAGCGTCATGCTAGAAGTTTGTTTTGGCATCTTTCAGCATCAAGATTAATTTGTAGTTGGCGATCTCTGGCTCTGGCCGTGCCTTTAACATCTCCTGCCCCTGTCCTGACAGAACAGCAACGGGTGATGCTGCTCAGCAGGTCCCCCTCGGGCCCCAAGAAGTATTTCCCTATCCCCGTGGAAAACCTGGAGGAGGAAATCCGGATCCGCTCGGCAGACGAGGGGAAGCTCTTCAGGGAGGAGTTCAATGTAAGTTTTTACACGTGGATGGCTGAAAACACGGGGGGGGAAAAACCAAAATACCTGCCAGTATTAATAATTCTTGTGTTTGGTGCGTGATTGGTGCTGTTCTGTGGGTTCTGTCGGGCGTGGGGACCCTTCAGCTGGATAAAACCTGGAATTTTTACTGATTTATGATGCTGAACTGGCATTATACAAACTGTTTGCCTCTTGCTAACATTTAAAGAAGGTCTTTAGTGTTTGCCTGAAGCTGGAGGAGAGGAGCATTGAATATAAACCTCTCTAGCATTGATTTTCATGATGGTGGTGGATGGATTTTTGGGGGATCTGGGTGTTTCACCTCAGAGGAGAGGACACAGTGCGTCATTAATATTGCCCTGGTGGGATTTGATTTCTTTTTTCCTGATAATTTGCCTTTTGGCTCTTGGTTATTATCCCAGCACTCCCCTCTTTGCAGCACCTACCCCAGCTCAGAGTTTTATCTCAGCTCTCAGGGTTTTCCTGCTGAGGATTTTGTGCCCAGAGCCTGAGTGTGGCTGTAGGGATGAGCTGTACCTGGAGTCAGTGCTGAGCTCCTGCAGCGTTCCTGTACAGAAACACAAAACCAGGAGCCCGAGTTTGGGGCCTTTTCCAGATTTTTTTGTGATTTCTTTTCACTTCCCTGCACAGAAGAAGCCAAGCAGGAGCTGAAATGTCAGGAGTGGATTTGTGAGAGCCAGTTCTCGTGGTGGTCAGGCTGGCTGTTGAGTTATCACCACCTTAATTGGGAGCACATTTAGAGCTGCAGTTTGGTTGATGAGAAATTTGAACCCCACAGAGTTTTGCCTTTTCAGACAGGGAGCATTGTGGAAATCCTTATCAAAGCTGACAAAATGAAAGTGAGAACCAGTTTGAGGTGTGTGCTGGTGAATTTGGACTCTCCTGATGAATTTGCTCTGAGGTCCAGAGGGAAGCAAACCATCTGTTTGAATTTGTAAATCCCCCTTTGTTTCTGTAGTTTTCTGCCCCGTGCTGTGACCGTGTGGGATTCTGCCCACACCCAAAAACCTGGGGTCTGATCCCCAAAAATGAGCAGTGATGGGGTAGGATGGGGATTATGCTCGATGTGTTTTGGTTTTTTTTTTTTTCCTGTGGCTGGATGAGCTCTCTGCTCCAGCCTGGGAGGGCTGGAAGTGTCCAAGGCCAGGCTGGACAGGGCTTGGAGCACCTTGGATAATGAAAAGTGTCCCTGCCATGGAAGGGTGGGACTGGATGAGCTTTAACAGATTCTTCCAACCCAAACCATTCCATAATTCTCTGGATCTGTGCCTCAGCCTTACCCTGGGGATGCTCCAAGGATCTCTGCCCACTCCACACAGCCTGATCCCCCCATGCCAGGGGCCAGGTATCCCTGGGAATGCAGGTACACGAGCTCCAGTGGGAATTAGGAATAAATTTGGGCTGAAAATGGTGACCCTGGGAGCCAGCACTGCCCAGGCACAGACACCAACCCGAGAAGTTTGGTGCCAAGTGATCATTTTGGTAAAAATAAACCAGACACTAAAAGATGAAGACACCCAGCAGGCAGAAAAGAGTTTTGAGGACAGTTCCTGACTTTGAGGACTTTGAGTTCTCTTAGCTTCATGTGCCTAATGGTGTTCTCCAGCACCTTTGATTTTGTCTTTAAAGCCTCAGTGACCTCTCAGAGGTCCATTGCACCCCTTGGACACTCACCAGAATAGCAGAGCTCCTTTTTTTTTTGTTATGTGATTCCTCTGTGAACATTGGGTGCTAGAAGAGTGTTCTTTCTTCACAAGAAAAAAAAAAAAAGAAAAATATTAAAAAATCTATTTTTTTTCTGTCAAGCCCCTACCTCTGTTGATCATCCCTGGAAGTTTGGGATTATTGCCTTGATTAATTACTGAAATGCTTCCCCTAAGAGTTTTCTTTAGAAATTTTCATTCTGGCTGGATGAAGACACCCCTGTGGCTCATTCAGTGCTAAAAAAAGAGGAAATGTGCTGGTGCTGGGTGGGTTGAGCCTCTCAAAGCCTCGGTGGGATTTTGGGGGTGCTGCCCAGCAGGGCCAGGTCAGAGTGTGGGTGGCAGCAGATGGCCCAGGGCCAGCAGGACTCGTCAGCTCCTCGTGCTTTGGGGTGGTGGGAGGATGTGCTGAGCAGCAGCCTGGGTGAATCACATCCTCCCTCCCCATGGCTGGGAGCAGGAGCTGGGCTCTGCCCTTGCCCTGGGGCACAAGGAGCTCCCTGGGAAGGTGCCAAGGCCTTGCAGAGGTCAGGAGTGGGGCATGGAGAGGTGATTTGGCCAAAGAGAATTCCTTTTCATGCTTTTTTCGTGTGAATATCCACAACTTCTCTAGCTGTTAATTGAAAACGGGGTTTAAGTTTGGCTTTAAGTTTGAAGAGAGTGTTGAAATTTATATTTTTTTTCATGGAGTCACAGGATGGTTTGGGTTGGAAGGAGCTTAAAGATCATCCAGTTCCAAGCCCTTGCCATGGGCAGGGACACCTTCCACTATTTTTTTTTACACAAAAAAAAAGTGGTTTTTGTCTTTCATAAATGTACTTTAATCAATAAAAGGAGCTGATAAAAAGCCACGAGCTTTGTTCCCATCAAGAATTAAGCAGTCTGCTGACAGCAGCTTTCTTCCTCAGCCCTTTTAGCCTCCTTTCTTTTCCACTCACAGCTTTTTATGCCCCATGAAAGCCCCAACGAACCAAACCCACGAGTGCAGGGTGCAGCTTCCTGTGTGGTGGAGGATCAGAGCTCTCCATGGCCCCCTCTCCTCCTGTGTCACCCTGACAACCTTGGCTGTTTTGGGGGGGAATTCCAGCCCTGACCACGTTTTTCCGTGCCCTGTGTGACTCAGGCTGGGCAGGGGGAGGCACAGGAGTGGCAGAAGGTTGGTGGTGCCTTCCCAAACTGCTGGGATTTTACCTCAGTGGGATCCACCCTGCTGGCACTGGGGATTTTGGAGTTCACTTAAAGGAATTGATGAAATCCACTTAAAGGAACTTCTCGAAATCTGATTTTGGTTTGGTCCCTCTGCAGTGGCAGCATCTCAGCAGTGGAGAAGCTCCACCATGGGCACCTCTTTGCTTTCATCCTGACCCTTTTCTCTGTTTTTTCCTTTGTTTTATTGCCCTCCATGACTGTTTGGGTTTTATTTAAGCCAGACTAAATTTATCTGCACTGATCTCTCGCTGACGACTCGCAGAGCTCAACTCACAGCACATAAAAACCCTGTCAATTATTTTTCCTTCCTCCTTTTCAGCCAGGGCTGGGCCTGCAGAGGCAGAGCTGAGCAAGATGTTGGGTTTTGGATGCCCTCAGCAGGGAGGGGGTCAGGCCCAGCCCTGTTCCTGAGCCCAGTGTGGGTGCCACCAGTGGCATTGGCACAATTGGGTCACACTCTGAGTCACTGTGGCAGATGGCAGCTCCAGGCAGCAGCTCAGAGTTTAACAATTTGCTAAATAACTGTGAGAGAAAAAAAAAAAAAAGACTCCTTCTCTCTCCCCAACTGCTGAACTCGTTGTCTGGAGTGAAATCTGCCAGGATGGAGTTGCCTGTTAGAGAGGAATTAAAGTTACTGGAGGAGGAAAAGTTGAAATATATTTAATTCTGTTGGATGCAAATTATCCCTAAGCCATGTGCAGTCAAAACTATTTATTTTCTAGCATGCTGATTCTATACATTTATGTTTTTTTTTTTCAGTCATTAACGTCTGGGTATGTGCAGGGAACGTTTGAAATGGCAAATAAGGAAGAAAACAGGGAGAAGAACAGATATCCCAACATCCTGCCATGTAAGCCATTTGCTTTTCTTTTAAACCAGACAATGCATTTTGGAACTGAGCGGGCTGCTGGTAGTGTTCACGTGCTGAAAATACTCAAATAATAACAATTCCACTGGTCAGAAATGCTGTTCATGTGTTGTCTGTAGTTGGGGAGCTCTGCTTTTCCAGGCCTCCTGCTTGCTAAGGAAATGCCATCTTTCAGATTTAATAACTTTCCAATGCCCTTGTTTCATTTCAGATGATCATTCCAGAGTGATTTTGACCCAAATTGATGGAGTCCCAGCTTCAGACTACATTAATGCATCATATATAGATGTGAGTTGAGAGTTGCCCACAGCTGGCCAAACTTTGGGAATTCAAGAAATGTAATTTTCTGCTTGCACATGTTGGCCTTTCACCTTTTAACTGCTGTGGCTTTTGTTTCCACAGGGTTATAAAGAAAAGAATAAATTTATAGCAGCACAAGGTAACTCCTTCTCATTTGTCTCTTCTCTCCAGCTGAGGGCTGAGCACATTTAGTTATAGATGTGTTTTAGAGGTTATTTTTAACTGCAGGTAGTGGTCAGGTGTGAGGCTGGATTTAGAGGTTACAGTTAAAATGAATTTGCAGTGTGTGTGAGGTGAACAACTGCCTCCAGGCTGGTCGATTCTGCTGTGAACAGAGGCTCATTTCCTCCTCCACACCCTCTTTGTATCAAAATTGGTGTCCCTGATGATCCCCTCCAAGTTTGTTGTGGTCCCAGAGAACTTTGGACCTTGGCATGGGGAAGGGCTGCCAAGTAGGAATTCTAAATGTTGCTCCTGCCATAGTTAAAAGATAAATAATATTTAAGAATTAATGTGTTAGACAATCTGCCAGTGCCTAAAGAGGCTCCAGGAGAGCTGGAGAGGGACTGGGGACAAGGGATGGAGGGACAGGACACAGGGAATGGATTCAACCTGAAAATGGGTAGGTGGGTTTAGATGGGATATTGGGAAGGAATTCCTCCCTGGGAGGGTGGGGAGGGGCTGGGATGGAATTCCCAGATTTGCTGTGGCTGCCCCTGGATCCCTGGCAGTGCCCAAGGCCAGGTTGGACATTGGGGTTGGAGCAGCTGGGACAGTGGGAGGTGTCCCTGCCATGGCAGGGGTGGAAAGTAAATAATCTTTAAAGTCCATTCCAGCTCAGACCATTCTGTGATCTATGAGTGATATTTCAAGAGAGATGATTCCTTCTAAAAATGTGGTTGGGTGCCTGATTATGTAAAAGAAAACGTGATGAGGGGTTATTTAATGCATAAATACACAAATTTGGTATATTCTTGTGCAGGTGTAGCAAACACAGCTCTGGGTGGGTGCCCAGGGCAGGGCTGTGGGACTGCTCTGGGATCTGCTCCATCCCCTCTCCTGAGCATTTCCCTGTTCTGTCTGCAGGACCCAAGCAGGAAACAGTTAATGACTTCTGGAGGATGATCTGGGAGCAGAAATCAGCCATTATTGTCATGTTAACCAACCTGAAAGAAAGAAAAGAGGTAAAAAGTTTGCTTTCACTTTGCTCTGGCATGTCACCTGTGCTCCAAAAGTGCTCAGGGTCTGATCAGGTGCATTTCTGACCAATTCCTGCTCTGGCCTCTGTCAGGACAGCTGAGTTGCTACTTAAAAATGTACTTTTCGTTTCTAAAATACCCATTTATATCAGGTGATCTTTTAAGGAGAAAATTCTGATGGCAGATTGCCTCCTGCATAGCCCAGAGCCAAAGGAAAACTGCCGTGGTTTTATCCCAGTGTAAGGCTGCACTTGTGGATGAGATTGATTAGGAATGAAGATAAAAACTCTTATTCATTTTATTAGGTTTCAAAAGACACAGTTTGTCAACTAAACAATGAGAAATTCAAGCTGCTTTGTTGTGAGGGTGCTGCTGCTCCTTCCTGCCCCCAACTCCTCCCCTGAGGATGGGCATCCCTTGTTCTCCTCCTGGAGATGATTTTCCTGCCCTTCTACTGCTGCTTGAAGCTCCAACAGCAAAGCCAGGCCAAGAGGGCCAATTCCCAGTGTGAGCATCCAGAACTGCTAAATCTGGATATTCCTGATGCCTCCAAAGTAGAGCTGCTTTGAGTTTCTCACTGCCTGCAAGTAGAGCTTGAAAACAGTGAAAACCTCACAGTCCCCACAGTTGGACGCCGTGTACAAAGCTGCCAAACTGAAACAAAAGCTGTGGGGGCTGAGCAGGTTAAAAAACAATTCCAAGCTGTTCTCACCTTCTTTGCATCAGTTTAAGCAACGGTAGCAGGGTGCTAGAGCTGTGCCAGGAGAGGAGCTCTGCACACTCACAGCTCTGCTCACCTCCCTGGGTACAGCTACGAGTGAAAGCAACGTCAGGGTGATAAAATCCTGTGTTTGTGTACTGGTTTGAAAGCAAAACCAGTGAGAGACTGCAAGTCAGAAATACAATTTAATAGGAAAAAAAAGAGGAAAAAATAAAATACGTGTAATAGTACAAAAGAAAAGCAGTGTCAGAATGAGAATCCAAGGTGCCCCCGTCAGTCAGTCAGGGTTGGTGCAGTCCCATTCCATGGTGGCTGCAATCCTGCAGTGACAGATGTGGTTCTGCTGGAGCAGGGCTCCTGCACAAGGTGCAGTTTTCCTCCAAAGCTGCAGGGATGATGTGCAAGGCTCTGGTTTTCCTCTGGGATCCAGTGGGAAAAGGCTGCTCTGCTGTTCCAAATCTCCCCTTTGATCTGGGTAGGAAATGCTTGGCTCCTGCCCTGGCTGGAGCATCTCCCAATGGGATGATGGAATTTGATCAGCCCTGCCCTGGGACTGCATGGCCATGAACAGGAGAGATCTCCTGGAGGGAGGATGGGTCTCACAGAGATCAGGATCATTGCCCCAGCTGCTTTAACACATGGCCATGAACAGGAGAGATCTCCTGGAGGGAGGATGAGCTGTGGGAAAGATAGAGAACACTGTAACACCTGGTTTAACAGCTGGAACATGAACAGAGTATCTCCCACAGAGATCAGGATTGTTGCCACCTGCTTTAACACATGGCCCATGAACAGGAGAGATCTCCTAGAGGGAAGATGAGCTGTGGGAAAGATGAAGAACACTGCCCCAGCTGTTTTAACACCTGGCCCATTAACAGCAGAGATCCCCACAGGGATCAGCATCGTTGCCCCACCTGCTTGAACAGCTGGAACACGAACAGCAGAGATCCCCACAGGGATCAGCATCGCTGCCCCAGCTGCTTGAACAGCTGGAATGTGAACAGCAGAGATCCCCACAGGGATCAGCATCGTTGCCACCTGCTTTAACACCTGGCCCATTAACAGCAGAGATCCCCACAGGGATCAGCATCGCTGCCCCAGCTGCTTGAACACCTGGTGACAGAATCCAGATTTTTGTGCACACCTTTACAGCGTAACCCAGCACAGTTAACCCGTACAATTCTCATTTTTTTTATTATTTTTTTTTTTGTTTGTTTCTGTGCAGGAGAAATGTTTCCAGTACTGGCCCGAGCAGGGCTGCTGGACGTACGGCAGCGTGCGCGTGTCCGTGGAGGATTGCGTGGTGCTGGTGGATTACACCGTGCGCAAGTTCTGCGTGCACTCGGTGAGAAAACGTCGCGCTGCAGCACTCGGGGAAAACCCTAAAAATATGAAATCAAATATGGGCTTGGGAGGTGTTTAGGTGTGTTATAGGTTAGGTAGAGTTAGAGTAAAAGACTAATAGCTACTTAGTTATTATGATTTTGATTCTGTTTTTACCATATTTTTTTTATAATTTTGGCGGTTTTTTAAAAATAATTCCTACGATGTTTTATCATTTTTTTAAACTAATTTTTAACGAGTATTTTCTATAATTTTTAACGAGTATTTTCTATAATTTTTAACGAGTATTTTCTATAATTTTTACCATATTTTCTATAATGGTTTTTTTTTTAATAGTTTTTTACGGTATTTTTTATAATTTTTGCAGTATTTTCTATAATTTAATGGTTTATTTTTTATAGCTTTTTACTATATTTTCTATAAATTTTACAGTATTTTCTATAATGGGTTTTATAGTTTTTTTACGATATTTTTTATAATTTTTGCAGTATTTTCTATAATTTAATGGTTTATTTTTTATAGTTTTTTGCGATATTTTTTATAATTCTTATGGTATTTTCTATAATTTAATGGTTTCTTTTTTATGTTTTTTTACGATATTTTTTATAATTTTTACCGTGTTTTCTATAATCTTAAAAAAAAAAAAAAAATTAAATTTCAAACTCAGGATCTTGGGTATTCCTACAGCTCCACGAGGGATGCAAAGCTCCAAGGCTTGTCACCCAACTCCACTTCACCAGCTGGCCCGATTTTGGGGTGCCTTTCACACCTATTGGAATGCTGAAATTCCTGAAAAAAGTCAAAACTTTGAATCCTGCCCGTGCTGGACCGATTGTGGTTCACTGTAGGTATGTGTGTGCTCCTCTGCCTGTTCTTGTGCATTGGGGTTATTTTTATATTGGATGTTTGAGGGGTTTTTTGAGGTGTTTTTATGTGTATTTTAAAGATTTTATGTGTATTTAATATATGTATTTGTGGGTATAGGTATTTATATATATGGGCATTTATGGGTGTTTATAGGTATTTATAGATATTTATGGGTATTTATAGATATGGGTCTTTATGGGTATTTATGGGTATTTATAGGTATTTATAGATGTGGGTATTTATGGGTATTTATAGGTATTTATAGATGTGGGTATTTATGGGTATTTATAGGTATAGGTATCTATAGATATTTATAGGTATTTATGGGCATTTATAGGTATTTATAGATATGGGTTTTTATGGGTATTTATGGGAATTTATAGGTATTTATAGATATGGGTATTGATGGGTGTTTATAGGTATTTATGGGTATTTTGCTCATATTTCTATTCAAGTGTCATAATCTGAGTTTTTGAGAGCCCAGGGTAAAAACAATTTCCAAAGTCTTTGCTGTCACTTTGCCACTGAAGCAGAAGTTGTTGTTCTGCTGTTGGGGTTTTTTTTTTAATGAGGGATCTCCATTGTTTGGGATAAATCTGTTCTTTGTCACAAAATCAGACTTTTGTGGCCTTTGCCACTCAATGCTGCTCTAGGAATTCATCCCCCACTTCTCCCACAGTCAAATTGCATTTTTTTTTTTAAATGGAAATTTGCCATGAAATGCCCGGAAAGTTTGGAAGAAAGGCTTGAATTCAAGAGACTTAAATGCTGCAATTTTAAAAAAAATGTGCTTGATGCCAATCCAGAAGCAATTCCCACTCGTTGGTCACTCACACATCCTGCTGTCAAAGGTTTAAATGTTGAAATCTTTAATGAAACTGAAACCAAACTCTCAAACGGTTTGAAGAGAATAATTGCAACTTTTATAGCAAGTGTAAGCTCAGCACTGAGCAAGAAGTGGCTTTTCAGGAGCGATTATTGCAATATAATAATAGAATAAATATAATAACATGGTTATATGAATATATCTTATATTATAATAGAATAAAAAGAACACAAGAGCAAAATGAAAAGGAAAGAAGAGCAGCTTTGTCTGTTTGGGTCTTGTTTTTAAAGGGGAAAAAAAAAAGTTGGAAATTCCTGAATTTTCTCTTTTTTCCTTGCTAGAAATACTCCCTGGAAAAGTGTGCTAGTGAAAAAAAAAAGTGTGCTGGGATGCACCTTCTCTCTCAGATATTAATAAAAGGCTTGAAAAAAACCCATTTAGATGGGAAAAGTAGATTTGAGTTGTCCCAGTAGAAAATATTTTTATAGCCCTTGGTTGTGTGTGGAGTCTCATTCTGGGCTTGAGCTTTATTTGGCAAAAAAATATTATTTATTATTAAATTAATAACTAAACTATTCTGCTTAGTTTAACCAGCAAAATGAAAGACAAAAGTAAGAAAAATACCAAATAACTTCATGAATAATAATTTCAATCTGAAGGGCCAGCGTGTCAGGGTCAAAAATGAAAAGGTGACATTGAATTTCCATCCAGGCTCAGGATGTGACACCACAGAATTGTTGGGAAAAGGAAAGGGAAGGCCAGGAGCACTGAGGAACCATCCCTTTGTAGGGAACTTCTCGAAAAATGTGCCCGAGATCTGTCCAGGGAGCTTTGGGAAGTGAAATTCAACTCAGATTTAGGAGTTTGGAAGTCGAGGAGTGAAAATGAGGAGGGGCAGGATTTTCTGCTGATTGTGCGATTTTTGTAAGTTTTTAGAAATAAGGTCTTTGAGATGGAGGATTTTTAGAAATAGGGTTGTTTTTAGAAATAGTGGGGTTTTTTTAGATATAGGGGTGGTTTCTAGAAATAGTGGGGATTTTTTAGAAATAGTGGGATTTTTTTAGGTATAGGGGTGTTTTTTAGATGTAGGGGGTTTTTTTTAAGATGGATATAGGCATTTTTTTTAGATGGATACAGGGGATTTTTTTTGGATGGATTCGGGGGGAGGTTTTAGATGGATATGGGGGTCTTTTTAGAGAGATATGGGTTTTTTTTTTTAGATGGATATGGGGGTTTTTTAGATGGATATAGGGTTTTTTTTAGGTGGATATAGGGTTTTTTAGGTGGATATAGGTTTGGTTTTTTTTTTTTAGGTGGATATAGGGTTTTTTGATTTGGGGGGTTAGAAATTTTTTTTTTTCAGTAGGTGGAGAGGGACTTGGAGGAATTGCTGAGTACAGGGAATCGTGGCTGGAAAGGGAAATGAAGAAGCTGAGCTGGGGTGAAACCTGCCATGCTTAGAGGTGGATTCCAGGCTTGTCAGGAGGAGAACCATCCAAAAATGGGAATTAAGACATTAATTAGGACATGAGGAAGAATCCTTGTGGTGCCAGAGGATGCCATGGATGGATGGAAAAGAGAGGGAAGGGAATCTCCATCCTCCCTCCACACCTCAGTGGAACTCGTGGGGTTTGGTTTCCCTGCTGGTAAAGTGTGTATGGAAATAAAATAATCGTACAAATTACTACAAATACAATCTTTTTACTTTTTTTTTTTTTCCCGCTGTTATGGAAAACCTAATTTTGTCTTGCTGGGAGTTGCTTTGTATTTTTGAACCCGTGTAGGGAGGGGAGAGTTTTTGTTTTTTTTTTTTTAATCGTGTTCCTGGAGGTGTTTGTGGCCATTGCAGCCAAACACGCTGCCCGGAGGTTAAAGGAGGGCTGCTCATGACTAGTACAGGATGCCATGCCCTTTTCCTCTGGAAGGAAGAGCTGAAAGACGCTGGAATTTTTGTCATTTCTAATGGACGTGCTCCCTCTCGTGGCTTTTTTTAAAGACATAAAAAACTAAAAGTGTTTAGGGATGGCAGCGTTGGGAAACGTGGGGCTAAAAATTATTAAAACAAAGCTTAAAATTTTCTCATGATCTGAATTATTTGACATGGTCAAGCAGATTTTTGTTTTAAATGTCTTTTTAAATATAATTCTGATGGCATCAGCTGGGAAGAGCTGGGTTTTTTTTGTAAAAACACCCTCTTTTTTTTTTTTTTTTTTGCTATGCTTGTTAAAATGAAAAAGGGGCAGCTTTAGATTGGATATTAGAAAATACTTCTTCCCTGAAAAGGGTGACCAGGTGTTGGGACAGGTCACAGGGGTGGAACCCCATTCCTGGAGGGATTTTTAAAGCCCTGTGAATGTGCCACTTGGGGACGTGGGAGGAACAGCTGGACTCGAGGATGTGTGACAGCTTTTCCAGCCTTTACCCAACTCCTCAATTCCGTGGCATTTCATGGATTTCCCAGCGAGGGTTTGAGCACAGCAGCTCCCGCAGGTCTGGGTGGTTTTTGGCGTGGTTTTTGG